GTTTTCAACATTTTTGCCGTGCTCCGTATATCACCATCAGCAGTATCAAAACGGCAATAATTTTATGAGATATTAAATAAAATCAAAAAATTTTACCAAGAATTTATTGGAATTTTGAAGAAATATGTTCCTGTAAAATTTTAATTCTATATGACGTCTATAGGAGTAAATAATAGCAGAGTCCGCGTAATTTTTGAACGGCCCTCGTAGAATTCTATATTCTTTAAAAAAAATAATTTACCTACCTACCCAACTCGATATTTTAGGGTCGGGTTAGGGGAAAAAAAGATATTTTTAATGACTACATTTTTATCACTACAAGGTATATTACGTATGTATTTTGTATCTTAAATAATCGGAAAAATCGGAATCCTCTACTTATTACTATTATTTACCTTCTCGTTTTCATTTAGTTACGCCTTTACTTTAACTCCCAAGTTAGCCTTTCATTAAAAAGTTTTCTGGGAAAAATATTTAAAAGCGTAAAACTAAATTTCATGGCGTAACAGCGTAATTTTGTGGTAAAAAGCGGAGGAATTACGCCAAAAGCGGAAGGGTAGGCAGGTCTGAATCTCGACTAGGCGAACGGTTTGTGAGGAGACTAGAGGATCAGAAACCCTTATTTAGCGAAGATGGATAGCTAAAGACGGTATGAGTAGATGGTTTGAAAGTTGCGCCTCATGAGAAGTCCTGCTGGACTCACTATTCTGTCCATCTCAAGAATCTTTCACTCATATGGAGATGCCACCACTTGCTGTTGGAGGGCTGCAAATTTAGACCTATATTTGACACTAAGAGCCATGGAGCAGTTGGGGATCTTTTTCCGTGCCAACACCTACTGCGACACGGGACTTCGGTTTACACGGTCTCATTCAAAAGACCGGTCTCCACGACCCGTAGTGGGATTCGAACCCGATCAACTCCTTACACCGCGACTCTAGAGCATACGCTATAACCATTGCGCCACGCAGGCGACCTCACTATTGCGGCAGAAATATGCATAAAAAAGATGGAACAAAAGTTCATGAATTTGTTCTGCTGCAGTGTAATTGATTGTACTTTCAGCTTGTCCATTTTTCTTAGGGTTGCGAGGACTTTTGTTGGGTATACGCAAGGGCGGATCCCCATGGATTTTCAGCGTTGCTAAATTTTTATTCAAACGTATTAATGAAAAGGAATTATCTTAGAACCCCCAACCCCGAAAAAGGATTTTCAGGTTTTTTTTTTTTTTTTTTTTAATTCCGAGTCCCATAGTTAATGTGTAAACCCCCTTCTGCTGGAAAAAAAAATAAGCTGAACACAACGCGTAAAATAAAGAGATTTGTTGTTGTCCACCATAAGTTTTAAGAAAGATATTTTATTTTATATCCAAAGAAAGTCATTCTAAATTTATTCCTTTCCATGTTTCTCATCTCAAATATTATAATGAAATTTTATACCTTTATATGGCACCACGATATGTTTAGCAAAATGATAATTTTTCAAATGGAAAAAAAAAATTCTTGTGCTGACATTGACCTTTGAATAAAAAAATTGTTGAGATGTACCTCCGCCTTATTTTCAAAGATTTCACTTGTAAAATTCATTTTTTGTTTGTTTGGAAGTACCAAAATTGAGCTTTCTGCTTTCAATGTTGAATGTTTTTGTTGATGCCTGTTCTGATGACAATAAGACTTGCCGATGCATTCAAATTTTATATCTATACAAATTAAGTACGTGATGATAAGACAGGTAAAATGCACGATTGCTTCTGAAGGTATTTTTAAATCGGGCATTTTAATTGTGTTAATTATTTCTTCGGACTCGATTTACCTGCACCCAAGCCATTTAAATTCAAACCCAATCAAGCAGTCAGTTTATTGAAGGTCTGATGACTATTCTCGTCATGCGCTATGTACATTGTAAAGGCATATTAATAATGCCATAAAACTTCCTGGTCCGGTGAAGTAAGCAGAAAATTTTGGTTGTAATTTCCTTTCTATTACATATAAATATTTAAGGTAAGATTATTGAATGCCGAGAATAAAACATTCTCTTTTCAAGTATGTTACGAATATACGTGTACAGAAACTCGCTAAACCTTGTATGTTTGGCATGTGCATGCACTTGAAGTCTATGAGTTATGATCCTGGTTTTGTTTTTTTTTTAAAAAAGAATTAACAATTATTTAATGAATTCCAAAGAATGTAATGTTAGAACCCGGATGTCTTATTGTTATTAAACTTCTTACATGAAGGTGCATGTAAGAGAGATTTTAAAAATATATCTGTATATTTGCTATGTGTTATAAGGTACATTCAGCTTCCTGAATTATTAATCAAATGTCAGGCACAGAAGAAAAGACCCTATCATTTATGCATTTATGCTCATATAGAATTTAAAATTTCTTTGCACTTGATTAAATACTGTATATAAAGATGATATTGTTAATTGCGATCTTCAACGGATCACACGTCAAAAGACAGTACTTACAAGATTATTTTTGTTTATGACCGACATCTCTATTTTCCTCGTCTTTCGCAAGTTCCTTTCTGATCGATTAAAGCTCTATTTTCTGATGGAATTCGTTACGCAACATGATCACAAACAATTCATATATTTTGTCAGTACAAGAGTATACAAGAGGCCCAGGGGCCACATCGCTCACCTGAGCACTATGGCTAGGAAAAAGCAGAAATCACTTCAATCTTGAAAGGTTGAAAAGTTTAAATATAAAAGTGGTTGGGGGGGGGGGTGTCATGAATTGAACAAATTTGAATCTACATTATCTGAGGATGCTTCCATTTAAATATGACCAATCATGGCTTTGCTGTTCTTGAGTAGAAGATTTTTAAAGATTTAAGCTATGTATTCCTATGTAAAACTTTGATCGCCCATTGTGGCCCCACCCGACCCCCGGGGGTCATGTTTCGAACAAATTTGTATGTACACTATCTGAGGATGCTACCATATAAATATGACCAATCATGGCTCTGCTATTTTTAACAAATAGTTTTTTTTTAAAGATTTTTACTATGTGTTCCTATGTAAAACTTTGATCGCCCATTGTGGACCCACCCGACCCCCGGGGGTCATGATTTGAACAAATTTGAATGTACACTATCTGAGGATGCTTCCATGCAAATGTGACCAATCATGGCTTTGCTGTTCTTGAGAAGAAGATTTTTGAAGATTTTCCCATATATTCCTATGTAAAACTTTGATCGCCCATTGTGGCCCCACCCGACCCCCGGGGGTCATGAGTTGAAGAAACTTGAATCTACACTACCTGAGGATGCTACCATATAAATATGAACAATCATGGCTTTGTTGTTCTTGAGAAGAAGATTTTTAAAGATTTTTTCCTATATATTCCTATTTAAAACTTTGATCGCCCATTGTGGCCCCACCCGACCCCCGGGGGTCATGATTTGAACGATCTTGAATTTACACTACCTGAGGATGCTTCCATGTAAATATGACCAATTATGGCTTTGCTGTTCTTGAGAAGAAGATTTTTTAAGATTTTTTCCTATATATTCCTATGTAAAACTTTGATCGCCCATTGTGGCCCCACCCGACCCCCGGGGGTCATGATTTGAACAAACTTGAATCTACACTACCTGGGGATGCTTCCATGTAAATATGACCAATTATGGCTTTGCTGTTCTTGAGAAGAAGATTTTTAAACATTTTTCCTATATATTCCTATGTAAAACTTTGATCGCCCATTGTGGCCCCACCCGACCCCCGGGGGTCATGATTTGAACAAACTTGAATCTACACTACCTGAGGATGCTTCCAAGTAAATATGACCAATCTTGGCTTTGCTGTTCTTGAGAAGAAGATTTTTGAAGATTTTCCCATATATTCCTATGTAAAACTTTGATCGCCCATTGTGGCCCCACCCGACCCCCGGGGGTCCTGATTTGAAGAAACTTGAATCTACACTATCTGAGGATGCTACCATATAGATATGACCAATCATGGCTTTGCTGTTCTTGAGAAGAAGATTTTTAAAGATTTTTCCTGTATATTTCCTATGTAAAACTTTGATCGCCCATTGCGGCCCCACCCTACCCCCGGGGGTCATGATTTGAACAAACTTGAATCTACACTACCTGAGGATGCTTCCACATAAGTTTCATGTTTTCAAGCACAGTGGTTCTTGAGAAGAAGAATTTTTAATGATGCCATTAATTTTTCACGAATTCTTAATTATCTCCCCTTGGAAGAAGGCGTGGCCCTTCATTTGAACAAACTTGAATCCCCTTTACCCAAGGTGCAAGTTTGGTTGAAATTGGCCCAGTGGTTCTTGAGAAGAAGTCGAAAATGTGAAAAGTTTACAGACGGACTACAGACAAAATGTGATCAGAAAAGCTCACTTAAGCCTTCGGCTCAGGTTAGCTAATAACAGATACTGAGAGATTCATGCTTTACACAAACAAGACAAAATTAGGCGTATCATATAACATGGAAATTGAAATCCTTTTTTATGATGATAATTTTGATGAAAGGAGTTGATTGTCACAAGGTTAGTAATGCTTATTTTTATAGTCTGCCAAGGAATCATTATTGACCATGATTAATATCGTAGTACTACCTCCCGATGTTTAAAAATGTACATGTAGAATCATTATGGTATATTTTTTTATTTGTTTATTTTGTTTAACCTCTTCGAGAATTTTTCGCTCAAATTGAGACGCTACCATTTACCGGTGGAGGACTGTTATTCTCTTTATAAATAATTTGGCTAAATATGGCAGATATACTAAGAGGCCAAACATCATCAAACCTTCTCAGTTATTGCATCTTGGTGTTTTATAGCCAAAATATTCTGGAGTAGGTCACAGTGACAACTGAAGAGCGATTCTACGCCCTTGATCCTCTTTTTTCTAATCTACTAGTAATTACAATGTGTATAAATTCATGAGACTACATATCATATAACATTTGCAGAGTGAAGAAAAACCCGGTTCCAAGAGATTTTATATATGTCAGTGCTAAGGTGAATAGATGGTATGTTTCTTGCTATTTGCCATTTCCTGTTGTTTGGTGCATCTTGTGAAGCCTATGGTAAGACTTTTAATTCATGCTTGGGGGTAGGGTGTATTATTCGATATAAAACGGATTTCTTTATCGAATTCTCTTGGTCATCGTTTTTAATGTTCATGTAAATATATCTATTTAAAAAAGAAGCTATTATCAGCAGTTTTTTGTTTAGACAAGCATAACAGAAAACACAAGACACATATGAAATATACACTGTACCATCCAGAAACCGATCCCCTGTGCCCTCACCCTTGCCAGCGGGTCACAATTTCATCAAATTAAAATGTACACTTTATGACTAAAGGAGGATCTCCTGTTCTGTAAAAAAAGATTTTATACAAAAATATACCCCTTGCTCCTATTATGAAACCATTCTTATTTCAAGGACCGCAATTTGAAAGAAGCTTAACTCGAACTGCATTAGCAATATAACTAACTGTAGACCTGCTCTGCTTGAGTCGATGTTTTTTTTTATAAATATTTTTAAATATTTTTTCATATACACAAAAAAAAACGAACTAGAAGGATTTTTTTTACGAATTGGGTTCTGTGCTACATGTTAATATATCTATACGACAGAAAGCTTCCTGATCAGGAGTAGAACCTGATGGTATAAATGTATAGATGTTAATTGAACTGTTTATTAAAGTAATTTCAGTAAAAATAGTTCGGAATACATTTATTTTTTCTAGAGAATTTAGCACTTAAGAGACCTGCCACTCAAGAGAATGACTGGCCTGATCAACCTATAACCTGGGGAGCAGCAAAGGCGGTGGATGGAAAATATTCTGACCGCAGAGCAGGCGGGAACCAGTGTACAATATCAGCTGACGAAAAACAGGCAGCAGAGTGGAGAGTAGATCTTCAGAGATTGGTCAGCATCAGTCACATCAACATCTTCTATAGGACTGATAATAGACCCAGTATGTATGCATATAATCACAATTATGTTGTAATGTACACGCTATTCCTTGAAGTTAAAGATTCATTATCTGTAGAAATAGACACATATTTGAAAACCCTTTTATCAGCTGTTGATCAATGTTAAAAAGAGAATGTCTTGATTTTCTTTACTTCTTTTTCAGGGAAGGAAAAAAAAAGTATCAATCACATGTGAATTGAAATTAAGCTAAACATAATATTTAAGTCTTGAAGTTTTAAGCATATAGAAACGGGGGTATCAATGATGTATCTTTTTTGTGCTGGACAGACATACATAAATACAGATTTGAACATCGCTCTCAAATTCTAATAAAAATGTTAATGTAGTAAACCATGCAGTATAGGCTAATGTTGACACTGTGTCTGACTTCACCTTTATCTTCTTTTTGTCAAATCTTTTTTTCCATGGTACCTTATCCCCGACTACGAGTATTGATATAAATTTACATTTCGCCTTTATGTGTAATAGGATGGGTGTAAACGGTGTATGTTCACCTTCTTCTCATCTTCCCAAGTCAAGGGTTTCTTAATATTCACTCCGCTCCACATAAACCCTTGACCGAATAGATTAAGTTTGACGGGATTAGAAATGCGCTCTCTGATTGGCCTCATGAAAGTGTGTATGAGACAATCAAACACTTTGTTTTATCTAACATGAAACTAAAATACGCCAGTTTTAGTCCGAACGAAAACGTCTTTACCATTAAATAACCTAGTTAAAGCCTTGTCTCAGCTTTGGAGTTAAAGTTATGTTGAATTTATTACCGACTTCCAATATTGTCTTGCATTCTCTATTTACTTCGCATTGCTTGCGTGGCGCAGTGGTTAGAGCGTCTGTTTTAGTGTCGCGGAGTAAGGAGTTGATCCTTACGTCGCAGGTTCGAATCCACTGCGGGACATGGAGACCAGTTCTTCGGATGAGACTGTATAAACCGAGGTACCGTGTCGCAGTAGGTGTTGGCACGAAAAAGATCCCTCACTGTTCAATGGCCCCGAGTGCCGAGCATAGATTTAAATTTAAAGCCCTCCACCGGCAAGTGGTGGCGTCTTCATATGAGTGAAAAATTCTCGAGAGGGGCGTTAAACAACAAACAAAACAAAACTATTAAATTTGCTTAATCTGATCGCACAGGCGCTTGACGTTTTTAACCTTTCTTTCCATAAATAAAAAGTCGCCCGCGTGGCGCAGTGGTTAGAGCGTCTGCTCTAGAGTCGCGAAGTAAGGAGTTGATCCTTACGTCGCGGGTTCGAATCCCACTGTGGGACGTGGAGACCGGTCCTTCGGATGAGACCGTATAAACCGAGGTCCCCTGTCGAAGTAGGTGCTGGCACGAAAAAGATCCCTCACTGCTCAATGCATATTGCCGTAAGTGCCGAGTATAGGACAAAAATTTGCAGCTCTCCACCGGCAAGTGGTGGCGTCTCCATATGAGTGAAAAATTCTCGAGAGGGACGTTAAACAAAATACAATCAATCCATAAATAAAAAATCCCCCATACTATAATAATAACAAGATTCGTCACGGTCGCCATCTTGAATTTTTCAGTTCAGCTACTTCGCCTCGATTTTTCGTCTACAATGTGTTTAAAATTAACGGATACAACCGTTTCCCTTAAGTACTTACTTTAACTATGCCTCCACTTTCGGGCAATTCAACTCAAATCACATTAAATCCTCTCTAATTTTAAAAATGTCGCTTCAAACTCGGTCTACTGCTACCGATTCCGTAAAACTTAGAAAAGGGAGGCCGGAAGTTGATGTTAGAACGTCAAAATCCGGGAAACCCCTTTTCTGATTGGTGGATATCTTGAGAGTTATATTAATATTAAGAGCTGTTTAAAAATGTAGCTTGAGCAGTTCTAAACTACTGGTACGTATTTTATAAATAACTTAGTAATATATTTTGATACATGTATAGTCCCCAACTGTTTGCAAATAAATATATATTTAGCCTAAAACTGTGTACTTTTTCAACTGCTATTTAAGAAACACTGAAATATTTAGGGTGAATAGTATACACTGAAAGAAAGGTTAAAAACGTGAAGCGCCTGTGTCTGATCGGTCAAAAGCAGAGGCCAATGAGTTCAAAATGTGTAAACTCGATATATGGCGCGATAGTTAACCCCGTAAAAATCAGTCTATTCGGTCAAGGGTTTGTGTGGAGCGGAGTGGATCAGAAACCCTTGACTTGGGAAGGTGCCTGCTTCTCAACGTGCAAATTAAATACATAGGTTACTTCCAAGGTCCTAGCTGGCTCGTTCTGGTTGACTATGGCTGACATTTAGTCTTTCAAGTTCTTTGGTCAGACAAAACCCATGTTGTCTTCCAACCGAGTCGGTAATTGTCGATTAATACATCCAAGTTTTGGTGAGGGTATTGTGGGTGAGGTCAAAGACTAGCTTGCTGGCTTCTTCAGTATGATTTACATGTAAACACATATCAAATCATGGTGCCTATGTCTGTTTTTCATATGAAACAGGAAAAATCACTAAGAAAGATGGCTTCCATATATATATGAAAGAATAATTGCAGGTCCAAGCCCTTATGTTCCGCGAATGGCTGGATTTTTTCTTTACGTTTCCAATTCAACTTCAAGACACGACGGCTATCTTTGTTTCCATGAGATTCAAAATGTAGTCGGTACCCCATCAGAGGACCAGAGAATAAACTGTTCTGTGCATGGACAATATGTCATTTACTACAACGAACGGAGACAGGATGTGACGTACCCTAGTTACTACTCTACATATGCATTTAATGAACTATGTGAAGTGGAAGTTTTTGGTAAGCAATGATACATGGATTCTCTCTGTATCTAAATTGACTCTCATAAAAAAAATGTACTACTGCTATAAAGTGTTTTATTAGGGTGCCCGAGCCCGCGGTTTTACGGAGAGAACTGTGCCCAACCTTGTCCGGAAAAATGTCAAGAGCAACATTGTGATATAAATACAGGCTACTGTCTGGGTTGTGTACCTGGGTATCGAGGACCTTTTTGCAGTAAAGGTACGTAGACGCTTTCAAATATCAGCATACATGTAATACTAAGTAATGAATGACAAAAGAAAAAGTTAAAAGAGCAAAGCCTATTGACAGCAAATATTTTGCATGCCTGGCCATGAAAATGGCCACAGAATAAATTAGTGTTTGTTTTTCCGCTCTTCCATCTTTAGTCTGTCCTTCAGTCACATTTGCATTAGCTTAGTTTCAAAGAAACTAACCAGTCACGGTAGCCTAGTGGTAGGGCGTTCGCTTCGTGATCGGGAGGCCTGGGTTCGATTCTCGTTCGCCGCGGAGCGTCAAGACCTGAGACGTTAACATGGGTAGTGACTGTTCCTTCGCCAAGCGCCCGGCATTAGAAGTTAAAGTCACTTGTCTTTCACCTTAAAAACCGAGGCGTTGCAGGGTAGGCGTTGCAATTGGCACGACAAAAAAACATCACTGCTCAATGGCCCTTAGTGCCGAGTATATGAATTTGAAGCCCTTCACCGGTATATGGTGAGGTCCCTATATGAGTGAAAAATTCTCGAATGGGACGTTAAACAACATACAATCAATCAATCAATCAAAGAAACTATTCAAGTCCTTTTAACCAAAATGCAGTCACTGATATATTTCTGGTGAAAACTTTTCAACTATGGCAAAATTTTCTAATCATTGCTCTGTCTTAGACATTGACATCTCTTTTACATATTTTGCGTCAGGCGCAGAACTCATACAGAGCTACATGTATATGTCGGTAGGAACTATTCGACAGTGTGAAAAGTCCTTGACCTTATAATTATAACATTGATCCCACTTTCACTTTCTTCCCTTCATCTTTATTTTAAAGAGACACGCTTCAAGATATTGCAAACAAGATAAAAATGGATTTTGAGAGCTGTTCATAGTGACACAAGCTATTACATGTACTTGCAATAGTAAAGAATCTAGTTTATTTATGAGATTGAATTAAAATTAAAGTTGTTTCGTTTGTTTTTCTTTCATGCTTCATTTTGGACAAAAATGCCTGTTAAAGTAAAATATGAAGATATTGTACAATAATGAAGCTCTTATATTTTCATCACGGATTATTATCTCTTAAATTTTTAAGAAAACCATGGTCGTTTATCGATGAGTAAAAGCCGCGTAGGCTTTTCAACTATATTGATTTCTTGAACAATGGTTCTTCCATGAATGAAACGTACAATGATGTACACATCAATGATACAATATTTAATCTACTAGTACTTAATCCTACTTAAGATGATTCTTTGTGCAGATATACTGTAGTAAATATTAACAATAAAATGTCTCTCCTTTTTAGGTCACCTGAGTCACTCAGGTGACCTATTGCTATCCGTTTTTGTCCGTCGTCGTGCTACGTCCGTCGTGCGTAAACATTTAAACATTTTCAGCCTCTTCCCTGAAACTGCTCAATCAATTTCAACCAATTTTGGCACATAGCATTTATGGGTGAAGGGGGACAAAAATTGTGAATTTCATGGTCCCTGCCCCCTTGGGGCCTGAGGGATGGGGCTAAAACCACTAAAATTAATGCAATCTTTAAAAAAGTTTTTCTTTACTCCAGGACATCAAGCAGTCAAACTGTTGGCATGATTAATAAGCATTGAGCCCTCTACCAAAATTAAGAAATTAATGGCCCCAGGGTCAGGGGTTCTAATGCTAGGATGGGGCTATATAGATCATATAGTGAAAGTGCATTATTTATTTGAAAATCTTCTCAGCTTCAGGGTATTAGATAAACTAACTAAGTGTATAATTATGATGAGCAAGAGTGCCTCTTCCAAAATTGTGAATTTCATGGCCCCTGGGTCAGGGGTTCTGGTGTTAGGGCGGGGCTCTATTGATTATATAGAGAAAATGCATTATTTTTTGAAAAACTTCTTCTCTGCTCCTGGGTATTATATAAAGTAACTAAGTACATAGTTATGATGAGCATGGCTGCCTCTTCCAAAATTGTGAATTTTATTGCCCCAGGGTTAGGGGTTTTGGTGTTAGGGCGGGGCTTTATTGACTATATAGTGAAAATGCATTAATTCTTTGAAAATCTTCTCTGCTCCTGGGTATTAAATAATAGAAACTAAGTACATAGTTATGATGAGCAAGAGTTCCTTTTCCAAAATTGTGAATTTCATGGCCCCAGGGTCAGGGGCTCTGGTGTTAGGGCGGGGCTCTATTGACTATATAGTGAAAATGCATTCATTCTTTGAAAATCTTCTTCTCTGCTCCTAGATATGGAATAAACTAAGAACATAGTTATGATGAGCATGGCTGCCTTTTCAGAAGTTGTGAATTTTATGGCCCCTGGGTCAGAGGTTCAGGTGTTAGGACAGGGCTCTATTGATTATATAGGAAAATTGCATCAATTCTTTGAAAATCTTTTTCTATGCTCCTGGATATTAAATAACCTAAGATCATAGTAACAATGAGTTATGATGAGCATGGTTGCCTCTTCAAAAAGTGTGAATTTCATGGCTCCTGGGTCAAGGGTTCTGATGCTTGGGCGTGGCTCCATTCATTATATAGGGAAAATGCATAAATTCTTTCAAAATCTTCTTCTCAGCTCCTGGGTATTATTCAAACAAAGGAAGTGTACGGTTGTGATAAGGAAGAATGTCTTTTCCAAAATTGGGTTCTGGTGGAGGGGGAGGGGGGGGGACTCTATTGATTTTATACAGAAAATGCATAATTTATTTCAAAATTTTTTTTTCTACTACTGGTTATTAAGCAAAAAAACAAGTGTTTAGTTATGATGAGCAAGGGTGCTTCTTCCAGAATTGTGAGTTCATGGCTCCTGGGTCAGATGTTCTGGTGTAAGGATGGGGCTCTATTCATTTAATAATATAGTGAAAATGCATTTCTTTGAAAAAGTTTTAATATGCAAAGGTATTTTTACCAGAATTTCGAACACCTGGACCATTTAGTCAAGTGTTCTGGTCCTGGCCAGGGCTCTATTAACTTGTATTCTGCTGATCAAAGCTATTCCCCTTTGCCATTCACCTTTGATATTTAAGCACTGTAAACAATGTATTTGAAAGGTTAATAGAATACGAGAATTATGCAAGAATATTTATTGTATAATACAAAAAGTACTTTCATAGTTTTAATAATCAGATAGACTTGGAAAAAATAGATGAATAAAAATGAGACACAAATAAATTATCTTTTGAAATGTTCTTCAAAGGCCAAGAGAGGCCAATGTGAGAAGTAATAATAGGGGATTAAAACACAGACATTTTGTTAAATAGTCTGCATGGTAAAAGTGATAACTGGGGGACACATAGATACTATACCATTTATTTTGTTGATGCTAATCATACTATTTTTCTTGCTTTTGGGCAACAAAGCTTCAATTATCAGTTTATGGATCCTCTAAATTGTTGTATTGTACTCAAGTGACCGTTAATGCCCTTGGACCTCTTTTTTGCTAGTGCGGGCATTAACCTAGCAGCAACAGTTTAGCATTTATTCACATATTAACAACAAATGAAAGCATTTTATGGTTCAAGTTTATATCTATGCTTTTTGGTAATTATTTTTTTCGACAGTATTTCTCTATTTTGTGTCTTTCTGTAGAATGCAGTGAACAAACGTATGGATTGGAGTGTTCTGTGTCATGTGGTAACTGTACCAATGGGGAAACCTGTCACCATGTCAACGGCACGTGCCTCAATGGTTGTAATGTTGGGGTGATGGACAAGAAATGTCAGACTGGTAAGATTTTTCCTCGTCTTCTATCTTAAAATTATCTACTCATTTTATGCACCCTTTCTCATTTTAAAGAGACAACCGATTGATTGGGGGGGGGGGTTTCAAAGTCAGATTATTTTCATGTCGGTGAAGGAGAGATTATTTATTATCAAGAAAAAGACTGTAAGAAATTTCTACGCCTTTTCCCGATATTTTTAATGTTTTTGTTTTTTTTAATTTTTCTATCAGTGAAATATGTTTTCATTAAAATAAAGAAAATGAAAATGGTCATCGTTACTATCAGTAAGGTATATTACACTGACTTATTTCACATTAATGCCAGACATACAAAATAGGATCTGTTGTAGTATTTGCGTTACTGACATAAAATGATGGACCGATAAAATAGACAGGCAATCACTTTTTCAATACAGGTATTCTTCATAAATAACGCTTCTTAGTTATGATAATTTTTAGCATGTCTGTCGGGCCTCTATGGCAGGGACTGTAGATATACATGCAGTGATAACTGTGGTGTACCAAACAGATGTGACAGGTTTACTGGAGAGTGTGACGGAGGATGCCAACCTGGGTGGAAGGGAATCCGATGTGATCAGAGTAAGTGTATTCGTTTGGCTGTAGCTCAAAAGTCTTAATATGTCTATACTTTCATCAAGTTACTTGTACTGACATGTTTAGGCTGCCAGAAGTTAATTTTACGTTAAATTTCACCTGAAAATTAAAAACTTACGAGGATGACAAATAAAATTAAGTTCAAACAAATAAGCATTGCCCATTTACTTGAATCAGATTACTGTGAGTTTTTGAGTGACTTTTTCTGAAATAATTTTGAGCTTTTTATAGTAAAACATAAAGAACGAGATCCTTGGGGAATATCACAAATACAATTTAAAGGATCCCCAAAATTGCTAGTGAATGAAGTTTTAGTCTCTGAAGGAAAAGCAAACAGTATAAATTTAAAAAAAAAAGATTTTTAAGACAGCAGTATTTCTGAAACCTACTCACGCAGGGGACTTTAAATGTAGAATTAATTTTGGGTATCTTTAGTTATGAAATTTAAATATTTTGCTCCTTATGATGTACATTTTAACCAGATTCGTTTACAGAAGAACATCAAGAAATCAATTTCTGAAAGGCGTGTACATATAAATATATCCTGTTTAAGATACTTAAGAACAAATAAACTTTTTATTACAGAATGTAACGAAAGAATGTACGGTGCTAACTGCAATCATAGTTGTGGTCACTGTTTGGACGACGAACAATGTGACCATGTTAATGGCACGTGTGTCAAAGGATGTGCCGCTGGATACGAAGGATTCCTCTGTAATGATAGTAAGACATCCTGATTTGTGCCTTTTCAGGCTTATTTTTAACTTATTATGTTCCCCAAACGAAGTTTGGGAACATATTGTTTTTACTCTGTTTCTTATTATTATTATTATTATTATTATTTTTCTTCCTGGGTACTTTTTTGTCCGTGAGTGATCTCCGAAACTACACATCCGATTGAGGTGAAACCTTTTTAGGGTTACTAGGCATGTTATGTAGATTTGCGGAACGAAGGTCATTTTGCGCGCACGCGCATGCACGTGCGTGCGCGTGCAATGCGTAAAATGACCAATATACTTGATATAGCTGTAACTTTTATATTTTTTGATAAAATGCTTTGATACTCAGAATATAAGGATATATTAAAAGTATGAACAAGATGACATGGTCAACATGCACATGCATGCACGTGCGCGCACGAGCAAAGCGTAAAATGACCAATTTACTTGATATAGTTGTAACTTTGAAATTTTTTGATGAAATGCTTTGATACTCAAAATATTTATATGTATTTAAAGTGTAGACAAGACGACATGATCATCATGCACATGCATGCATATGCATGCACGTGCGCGCGCGTGCAATGTGTTAAATGACCAATTTACTTAATATAGCCGTACTTTTTATATTTTTTGATGAAAAGCTTTGATATTAAGAATATACAGATATATTAAAAGTGTAGACAGGATGATGTGGCCATCATGCACATGCATGCACATGCGCGCGCGTGCAATGTGTTTAATGACCAATATACTTAATATAGCCGTAACTTTTATATTTTTTGATGAAAAGCTTTGATACTAAGAATAAACAGACATATTATAAGTGTAGACAAAATGGCATGGTCATTATGAACATGCATACAGGTGCGCGTGCGCGCAATGCTAAGATGACCAATATACTTGTTATAGCCGGAACTTATATATTTTTTGATGAAATGTTTTGATACTGAGAATATAAAGATGCATTTATAGTATAGACGGAATGACATGGTCAACCTGCACATGCATGCATGTGCGCGCGCGTGAAATGCGTTAAATGACCAGTATACTTAATTGCCTTATTTAATGAAGCTTACAGGAAATAAGACACCAAAAGGGAGTTGGGGAGCGTTTGGGGAACATCTGTAACGGTCCCCGTTACAATTAATACTAGTTTTGCCAATTGACTTTATTTAAAGCATTTTATTTATAAAAACAACAATGCCACGAACAAACTAGTGCTACTAATAATTTTGTAGCTTGTAGCTTACCATATTATGGCACCAGGTGTCTCGAGATATGCAGCAAAAGTTGTGTTAACCAAACGTGCCACCACATGACAGGAAATTGTTTGTTCAACATGGAGGTGATTGATGATTTTATTACATTTATTATTCAACCCGAGATAAAGATCAAAAGGTTTAGTTTGTGATTCAATTTTCATTGTCTAATTTTTGCAGTCCCTTGGTGATGATTCGCCAGATTCTGTCATCGCTGGAGTCGTAGGAGGAGTCGTCGCCGCTGTTGTGCTTGTCATCATCATCATAATTTCTTTCCTGGTATTCAGACGGTAAAGACGATTTTGATATATATTTGAAATGAAGAGAGTGACATTTTAAGAATGCATATATTTAAAAAAATGCCCTTATACAAAGGTATGGAGATGTAGTTAAATATTTCTTGTTACATGTTTTTGTCTGAAAAAAAGTATTTGGATTCTTCTCGTGACTAAGTAAGGAATATACCTAATTTTCAACATCGTAGATCACTTTCACGAAAAACGAAAAAGCCAGAGGAAATAAATACTGACAACAGAAGGGCAACACATTCTTCCAATGTGAATGGTAAGTCTCATATAGGAAATAATTATACCCCCCGCTCCGAAGGAGAGGGGGGGGGGTATACCTTTTTTTAAACTTGTGTCTCTATCTGTCTTTGTGTCTGTCTGTAACAAATTTTGGTCGCAATTTCTCTTTGTTAAGGCTTGCCATATGGTGGGATTCACTTTTGTTACCGTCTTCCTTGGAAGACGGTATACAGAGTTGAAGTATTTTACAGTCTTCGGATTATGCACTTCCTCTGTTTTGTGATTGGTAGAAATTGCATGATGAGAAAAATTTTCAATTTTTTCATTGGTTGAAATGCTGTTTAAGGCAATTTTCTGATGATCTAATTTTCGTACGACTTAACAAGTTTTCAAGATTTTCAAACGTAAAAAAATATGACAAAACGAACAGTGGAAATTGGCAGTAATTAATTCGAAATAACATGCTAGTTTTTTATAGCAATTACCAGAAAAGTTTCTATATATTCATTGTTAACAGAATTGATCTTTATTGCATGCAAGCTTTACAACTTGCATGTATTCTTTTCCCCTTTGTTTTGCACTGTCTTTCTAATGCCACACCTCGGCCGATTCGCACCTCATCTAGACGGAGTCCGCCGAGGTTTGCCGAATGATCTCGGCAGCAGAGTCAAAGTTTACAGAGACAACCGAGCATCTGTTAGTCTTTCACTTGGTAGGGCTTATGTCAGAAAAAACTAATGAAGAAATACAAAGCCAAGAAATTTTCAAGAATTATACGGCCTGATAGGTTTAGGTCACTTTACTGTTTAAGGTTGTTGCTAAAGACGGTAAGGTTTTTGAAAAAGCTCTACTTGTACGAATCTGATGTCAACTTCCTGTTTATCCCTGTGTCTGTCCATACCATACATAACACATTTTGGTCGCAGTTTTCTCAGCGATTACTCATCGCAAATACTTGAAATTTTAGCACACTCTTTGTTTAGGCATGGCGTATGGTGGGATTCATTTTTGTACGAATCTGATGTAAACTTCTTGTTCATCCATGCGTCTGTCCATACCATACATAACACATGTTGGTTGGTCGCAGTTTTCTTAGCAAATATTCATCGCAGATGCTTGACATTTTAGCACACTCTTTGCTTAGGCATGCTATATGGTGGGATTCATTTTTGTGAGAATCTAATGTCAACTTCTTGTTTATCCGTGCATCCGTCCGTATCATATATAACATTTTTTGTTGCAGTTTTCTCAGCAACTACTTATCGCAGATGCTTGACATTTTAGCACACTCTTTGTTCAGGCATGTCATATGGTGAGATTCATTTTTGTACGAATCCGATGTCAACTTCTTGTTTATCCCTGTGTCTGTCAACAAATGAAATTGTGTATTCACATCAGAGAGGGGGTATTATTAGTGAGCATTGGCTCACAGACTTATTGTTGTTTGTGTCATATAGTGAGTAATCAACCTCTATCCAAGGGTCCATGTTATAATGTCCAAATTAGTACTATTTGTAGATTTTTTTGAGATCAATCACTATTCGTTATCTTTACTTTTTCCATTAGAAACGTTAATAAACTTTAATTTTGATATTTAACTACTTTGAAGTTACTCCAAAATCAAAGAAGACCAGCTTCACAGACATTTATGAAAATATTGAAGATACATCACAATCCAGGGAAAACAAAATGTCCAGACACATTTCGAGTTCTGGCCAGTCTTATCATGAACTGAAACTGAGGAAAAACGATATAGACGACGACATGGATGACGATGAGAAATTACACGATGAAAACCCATACGGTGATTTATATGTGAACGAAGAATCAATTCCAGATATTAATATAAATAAACTAGAAAAAGTATTCAAAAAATATAAAGAGAACGAAGATGATGGATTCAAGCGAGAGTATGCAGTGAGTTGAGGATTTATGAAGTCAGGAAAACATCTTTTGTGTAAAGGAAATTTGTAAATGGAAAGTTTCCATGATCACGTATTGTATAATTGCCTAATAATTTCTTGATTTTATATTACAGGCATTACCATATGGTGAAAGAAAGGCGTGTGAGGCCGGAAAATTGCCAGAGAATATACTTAAAAATAGATTCAAAACTACCTTTCCATGTAGGTTAAACATTCATTCAAGATTCGGCAGAAAGAAATGAACTGTTGTAAGAATATTTAATTGAAGAAAGTTTAAAGATTTATCGCTGAACAGAATGCATTTCAATGCTTGTAGATGATCATTCTAGAGTGAAACTGTCAAACAGGAAGTCTGACTATATTAACGCCAACTTTATCGACGTAAGTAAGAGAAGCATTCTAAATTAAACTCTTTAACTGAGGACTACAGTGATTTTTTTTAAAGATCTTGAGACAGTATGTATCACACTAAGCCATATTTATTATAATTTTTTCCTTTAAAATTGTTTTACAGAGTTTGGAAAAAATGAATGCATATATTGCAGCACAAGGTACATTTAATCAATTCCTGGTTAAAATCAGAAAAAAAATATATGTAATGCACAAATGAATGAATTGTATGAGAAACAAACTAGTTATAATCTGGTTTTGTACGTTTTATTCTTGCTCCTTTATAAATTTAACATCTATTTCATATATAAATAAAATATATTCATTGCAGGACCTAAACAGAACACACTGTCAGATTTTTGGACCATGGTTTGGCAGGAAAATGTCAGCCAAATTGTCATGCTTACAAATCTGAAAGAAGAAAACAAAGTAACTAACATGATGAATATTTAAAAACACTATTATATACATTGTATCATTTAAATGGTTTACATGAAGGAGGAGAGCCATAAATTAACATAATCTAATGAAAACGTTTTACATGTACCATTAACAAATATACTACAAGTTAAACAGTCAATAAAAATGCATTCAGATACGAATCCTTTGTCAATTAGTTTCTGAGGGACAGATGATACAAACAAATTTTATCAAAAAATTGAAGTAAGGAAAAAAAAACCCAAAAAACTCGAGTTCTGTTTATATAAGTAAAATGAACAATTTTAATCGCATAGTTTTATTATTGTTCATTCAAAGTTTCACAATAATGGAATTTGAAGTAACAAAAATTCTATAGATTAATAAGGATGGTTGCAGAAAGGTAGAATTTTGAACATCAAAGAAGGTTTACAATTTTAATATTTTAGAAATTTATTATTTGCAATCATTTACAACAAAAATTAGCCCAAAAATATATTCCAATCCTGCATCCATTTTTTTTGTTCGTGTCATCTGTCCTTAAAGAAAAAAAAGATCTACATTTTGTCCTTCATGTTGACCGGGTAAAATTTGTTTATATTTTATAATTTTATTTTGGTGGTATTGCAAGATTTTTAGTTTATAGCGTACATGTATTAATTATGTAGTCTATGTACGTCAAAGCCATATCGATCATGGCGCACCATTTCAACTTTTTATAATCTTAAGTTGTATTTTTATTCAGAAAGGAAATTGTCGCATTTTCTTTTTTACATAATGACAGAAATTTTAATTATAAGCAATGAATTAAATAGCAATGTTAAATGGAATACTTTTACAACCTGATTGTAACAGTTAACGATTTTTATAATTTTTTTTTCATGGTTTTATAAAGTGTAAACTGCCCCAAAACAGGTTACATGTATACAGTATAACTTGGTTAGTTGTTAAATTCACTCCTTAAGTAAAAACCATGGTGACAAGTAGTTTCTGTTTTCTTTTTCGCAACTCTAGCATCTTATATTATTTTTACGTTTTGAAGGCAAAATGTGTTCAGTATTGGCCCGATTATCAGCAATCATCCCATTTTGGTGCATTTTCTTTAACTTTGAAGGAAGAGAAAATATACGCATTTTACATAATAAGAAAACTGAAAATCACACATAAAGAGGTAGGTAACAACATTCATGCCTAAGATTAAAACCAATGAAAAATCTACCATAACCAGTGAATGAACGATTTGACAACCCTTCGAAAGTAAATGTGAATTTAAAACTTGTTGTCCATTTAGATTACTTTCATAAAATAGATTGAACATGTTCTATTTTTATGAGAAAATAGAAAAGCAGAAAGCGGTATTATATTACATCCTTTGAATAGGATGATCTGTATTATATTTAATTTTATTTGGTTCATCAGCTGAGAAATACCCGTATGATAACTCAGTACCACTACTCCGCCTGGCCGGATCACGGGACACCGGAACCGCTCTGTCTTGTAGTATTTCATGATCACGTGACGAGAACAAAGGAAAAGCAACATGGCGGCCCAACATTAGTACATTGCAGGTTAAAAGTTCTAAATGCTGAATGATGTTTGTTTTTTTAGAAATTTCTTGTGCTATTTAGATAAATAAAAATAATTAAAAAGGATTATTTTTAAATAATGTTTTTCATGAAAGTACATGAAATCTAATTTCAGTCATCGAATTTCATATCATAGACAACCTGCGTTAATGTTTTCAATGCTTTTAAAACCTGATTTTTAAACAGTAGACCGAAAGTAAATTTTGAATGAGGGAAAAAATATTTAAAAAAAGAATGGATTTGAATATTAAACAAATTTTCAACTTTTCAACAAGTTGCAAGAAAATCAGGAAGCTTTAAATAAAATTTTGAACTGAAATCTGATCTGAACTACACATGTATCTGTTATGATGCCTAGTTGTATAGGTTAATTTACATGAAATGACATTTAAAACAATAACGTTTGTTGTCTTTAGTGCAGGGATTGGCCGCACAGGTACTTATATCGCCATCGACGCTTTATACCAGGCGGGCAAAAAGCTCGGCAGAGTCAACATTGCTCAGTACGTTAAGACAATGAGAGAAAACAGGATGAATATGATCCAGACATATGTTAGTATACAATGCTGTGTTTAAATGAAGTATGTTATGTACACGTGTGTTGCACATGTTGGTATATTTTGATCGGATATAAACAATAATTTAATGTTTTTTATGGTGAAAAATTTAAGTGTTCATGCAACAAATCTGTTAATTTTGAAAGTGTATTTTTATCGTTTTAAAACTTTAACTTTACCTTTTTGTAACTTCTAGAAATACCCAAAAATAGAGATTGTTCTATCTGACGTATCCGTATAAGTATCCGTATCCGTATACGTATCGAGGTGAGAGAGGCATCTCGATCCCGATGTCTAAACTATTTACTATAATTTCCATCGTTATTTGTTTGGTTTTAAAGCAGCCCCATTCATTAAAGAAAAGCATATGGTATTTTTTCTAATAAAAAATTTATTAAGCTGCTGTAAAAGTTTGTTTTTTTTTTTGCTGGAAAATTTTAAAAAAAAAATAGATAATGAAATTCAATAAATTTGTATATGTTTTCATTATATTGTTTAAAACTTTAATTGCAATTTTGTTTAAAAACATTTATCAGGATCCCCCTCTCTCCCTCTTAACATCAGGACATTTTATTGATTGATTCTGTAATTTACATTAGATGACATAAACTTTAACCCCCTCACTCACACACTAAATGCAAAAGACGTTGATATCCACACAATCAATAAAACCGTGTAGCAGTTTTCTAAAGAGAATTTGCTTCCAGACCCTTACCAGTATATGCTTAAAAATGCCAGTCCCCCCCCCCCCCCCCCGGGAACACACACAAACTTTCATAGCGTCTGTTGACTTTCTTCATTCTTTTTTTTTCAATGAACTATTTGACAAATACCTGTATGTCTCCCCTTCCCCTCCCCAGTTGAAATTGCTACTTTCGGGCCTATTCTCATGCGGCTTGTTTTATATTTTGTCCTTTCAACAGTAATAACTTGAAAAGACTTCAAGGCGACAAAAATAGGTAATGAAATGAAAATTCAATTGTTAAATTTGATTTTTCTTTTAGTTCTCTTGTTGTCGTACATGTGTATTATAATAGAAATGTTTCAAAATAGGGTATTCATTATCTTAACTCTCTTTTTATAAAAAAGAAAAGAACATTAGACTAAAAAATGCCAAAAACAATAGATTTATCTATTTCTTCTATGCTACCTTGTCCATCCAGCTGATTTTTATTTATTTATATCTATATTTTTATTTATTTATGCATTTTGGCCCAGATTGGGACAAGTGTGAGTCAATTCAACACGCAGTTCATAGAATTGAATAGAAGAGGCTGCTTCAACGTAGCAGAGAAATAAAAAACACACAGAATAAAGGATAAGACTTATACAAAACATTTAATAGATAAAATATCAGCATTTCTTTCAGAGTTTTGATCCCGCTTGTACACAAAGAATTACAGTCATCTTAATTTCAATAAATAAATCATTTAAGTAAACTTTAGTCAACATGTATATAAAGTAATGTATAAGACATAAAAAAATTTCTCCGTTTATCTCCTTTTATCGACAATTGTTAATTCATCCTCGACAAAAACTGCGTGTAATTGCATCACTTTCGGAAATCGTAGTCCTTTCTCTGGAATTTCGGATACGGCTATCACCTAACAATTTAGGGAATTTAGAGTCTTCAATCCACCCCAGAATTGCCAGTTTTCCAAAGCTTTTCTGGAGAACTATGTCCATCAAATATAATCAAATGATATACAGAATGTTGATACAGTCCCTGAAACGTTCTACTTTCCCATTTTTTCCGTTCGCTCACCGTTCGTTCACCGTTCGTTCAGCGTGCGTTCACCGTTCGTTCAGCGTGCGTTCACCGTTCGCTCTCCGTTCACAGTTTTGCGTTCAGCGTTCACCGTGCGCTCGCGTTCACCGTTCACAAAGCGTTCAGCGTTCGCTCTTCGTTCCGTTCACTTTGCGTTCACCTTGCGTTCAGCGTTCACCTATCGTTCAGTTTTCATTGTCATTCGGAACTCCGAAGTGAAAGGACTTATCTTTTTGTAGGGAAGGAGTTACAGGTTTTTTTAATTTAATAACTAACATATCGTGTTTGAAGAATCATTATTTCATGTTGAAAAATATCTACGATATATATTTTTATTATTCTAACTTAGCTCTTAGGTTATTTATTAAATTACTCTGGAAAATAAATGTTGTTATAAGCACATTCTGTACCTATGTAGAACGATGCTGAAATATTAAATTTAACTAAGGGAAATGTGCAAATACTTCAAGCACTGCAACATTTTGTTGTTTTGTTAAAGACGACAAATCGTTAATGGTGATATAATTATCCAAGTCAAATAATTACGCAGCAAAATTACGAAAATATTTATTTCTAACACGTTTTTTTTTCAATTACTACAAAAAATATGATAGAACTAGTTCTGAGAGTTATACATAGTACTGCGGATATCCTGTTAATTTATTATCTTTGGAGCGAACTGAATTGATAGTGTGGTTAAAGGAAATATTTATTTGAAATGTACTGCAGTACAGAATTTTCTCTACTATAATATGTAAAGTCTATAGTTATAGAGAAAAAAAATCTTTCTTCACCGTAACTTTATATGTTTGCAATTCGATATGATTAATACCCCCCCCCCCTTTTCCCCCTAGATTGGTCACTTAGTCAGTACTGTATTTCCAGAATATTTTAATTAACATTAAAAAAAAAAGTTATGGTCTTTTTTAGAACAAAAATTTCAGTCTCAAAACAAACATGCATCTAAAAAAGTCACAAAACAATAGTAGTTCAAAATGTACACGTGTCGGCGGTGGCAGAGAGTATGTTTCAAATTCAAGTGTTAATGCCCAATGTATTTTATTCATTTATTATTCAAATGTTGGGATCAAATCTAGAAATGATAAAAATAGATGTTATAACTTGTTGAAAATACTCGCACTAGCTTCGTCTTCGATGTGACGAAACTTTCACACCTGCACAGTGTCGAATGATTTTGATTGACAGGACAAGCACGTGGACTTCGTGTGAACTTAAAGCTTGAAAATAAAAACGAGTATGACTGTCAAACAAATGGATATGATTTGTTGATAAAAAAAAAAGTTACATTCACTGTCTGATATATTTAGAAAAAATATCAGAGTTTTTGTTTGATATAGGTACAAACATTTAGTGAAGCCTAAAAGGAGGGGGGGGGGGCTAAAACGGAATCTCTCTCTCTCTCTCTCTCATTTGTCTGTTTAATAAAAACTATAACAGCATATTACTTAAATATCAAGTTCTGAAAATTGAATTTATAACAAATAATATGAATATGTATCTTTGTATTATCTTGTCCGAGTATAACCACGGCCATCTACAAATACATGTAGAAGTCAGCTCAATAAATCATCATGAAAAATAGAAATGACACATAATATATTATTGTATTAAAAATTTAAAATACGAGCGTTTAAATGCAAAACGTCCACTGACCTTTGTAATTATTTTTTTTTTTTCATTACTTTACACGAAATCGGCCTAACACGGAGAGATATGAATGGATGTTACAACCGCTTTAATTCATTCTATAAGTCAGAAGTTTTCTCTGATTTGTTTATACTTCATCGTTCGGCAACAATTGCAATGTTTTAATGCAATAAAAATCGTGTGATTAAAAACTTAATGTGCATGCATCGTCTTTCTTAGGACAATTTTGGAGAATTTATTTTATTGACTTATTTATTCATTCATTTATTGGTTTACTTATTTATTTTATTTTTTTTTTATTTTTTTTATTTTATTTTATTTTTTTTTTTGGCTCCTGACATTATAATACAATAAAATAGTTTCAATGCAAGGAAAAGATCAGAGGCATTCCGAATATATCGTTCATCTTGCGTTCTCCGTTCGTTCACCGTTCACTTTGCGTTCGCGTTTGCGCTCCGTTCGCGTTCTGCGTTCGCTCACCGTTCAGCGTTCACACATCGTTCACCAAGTTGCGTTCAGCGTTCACACATCGTTCACTCACCGTTCGCTCTGCGTTCGTTCAGCGTTCGTTCACCGTTCGTTCAGCGTTCGCTCACCGTTCAAGTGGGAAAGTAGAACGTTTCAGGGACTGTAATGATAAAAAAGAAAATGAAGATGGGAATGTTCAGTGACCCCCCCCCCCCCACACACACAGAGTATTCAGTATGATCACCTTTTTATTGTCAAAGTTTTGATAAGGTGACTCGTCATTTTTTAGTTTAGTTTAGTTTCTCCCTGCCTCGGCCCAGCTTCCCCCTTCTCCACTTTGTTAATCATTTTTAAGTGTCTGCTTGATGTAGACAAATTTATACTCATCTAGAATGTTGATCTCTGACACCTCGTACAGTTAAACTTTGTTAACTCAAACCCTTTGAAATATCGAAGTTTTAATTGGTCCAATCAAGTTCGAGATAACGAGCGTTGACTGTATGCATTATGGGGAATATGTCTTGTATTGGTAAAGGTTCCTTCTAGAATGAAACAATAATATATCCTGATATTGTGTGTGTGTGTGAGAGAGAGGGTGTGTGTATGTGTGTGTGTGTGTGAGAGAGAGAGAGAGAGAGAGAGAGAGAGAGAGAAGTTCCTTTTTGAACCTTTTTTTTTATTTTTTAACAATTTAATAAAAATATACATATTTTTTTTAACTAATTTTATTTTTTTTTAATCCTTCCATAAAATGATAGGTGAGAACAGCAACTTGATACGTTTCATTAGAAATATTACTGTATATCTTATTTTCCAATGAATGAGGTTAAAATCAAACAAGAAACGATGGAAATGTTACCCAACGGTTAAATCATCGGGATCGAGATGCCTCTCATACTTCGATACGTATACGGATACGTATACGGATACGTCAGATAGAACAATCTCTAATAAAAACCAATAATTACGTTAAGCACATGAAGTTCATCTTTAAAACAAACAACAAGTGTAAATCTTATATTACTGTAAAAAATACAGACAAAATCTGTAAATCGAAACTTATGACTTACATCTATACCTGCGTCAGTCATAAGGAGTTGATTAAATTAAAATTTGCTTTTCAGGAGCAATACAAAACCGTCTTTCAAGTTCTTAGTGAAACGTTTAAAGCTCCAATAGCTGCGCGTTACAAAACAGAGCTTGTACAGAAAACAGAATTGATGACCAAAGATACCCCAGCGAATGAGAGTGAACTAAGAAAGGAGTTCCAGGTACTTTGACTTTATTATGAAAGACTCATAAGTTAAATCGAACTTAATTGTGTATAAACCTTGTGGAAGAATATGAACCTACAGACAACTGAAAATGTAAGGTAGGGTCTTAGACTCAGGCCTCAAAAGCAAGGTAGCTTCTGTTATAAAACATTTAGGGGTCAATGCATTTACTAGGAGCGGCCAATTCCAGATTTATTTATTTTTTTAATACTCTATCAGTTTAATCAAGTTTAACAACCAAGATACAAAGGAAATCACAGTCTCTGAAGCGTTAAAAGATGCATTCCAGATGAACCAAAGTTAATGAAAGTAAAATACGACTTACGGTGAGATGTTACGTAACATGGCGAATAAATAAGAAAACAGAGCCCTTTATTTTCTCAGTATGCAATTATCAATTATCGTTATAGTTGGTCTCTGTCCATTGAATACACTAAAGCTATTTAAAGAAGTTTTTCTCCAATCATGATGGAAAAATAGAAGATGCATTACATTTCATAAATCATGTTAGAAATATTAAAAGTATCCTAAGTTTGTTGTCAGACCTGAATGTGCCATTTTAAAGTTTCTAGTTTACGAAATATTTATATGTAGAATCTTGTGAGAGTCCGTCCATTGTATAGTGAAGCAGATTACAAACAAGCTCTAAAGAATGGAAATAAAAAATCAGCTGTTCTTCCACGTAAGTGGTAAACTTTAGGTTATGTTTTGAAAGTCATCAGGAATTTTTTTCTTTATCAAATATAAAAAATATGTAATGTAGAGTCAATTAATTTTGAAACTTGATGCTACAAAAGTAAAACAATCGATTACACCTAGGAATATGACATTTTTGATATGTGAAAAACTAGTTTAAAAATTTAAATTCTTTTTAAAAAAAAAATTCAATAATTTGCTTGTTCCTTTTCTACAATGAGTAATTTTTTTTAGTTGACAAATACAGTCTTTTCCTGTCATCTAGTGTACCAAAACGGGGGAGTTTTATTAATGCAATCACACTTCCGGTACGTATAATCACATATAAATTAAATTGCAACATTTTCATCCTATATTTATAGAACATCAAACTTTACAAGATTAATTGGATATGCTGTTCGAAACTTAATTGTTTAGGCAATTTTTAATTGCATTTTAGGCCAAAAATATTAAGATATCATGTAATTAGAGTTCTCAATTTTGAACATGCTAATATGACCGTGGTAAATGTAAGATATACATTTGGCCTGCTGAACTTTTTTACTTTTTTTTTTTTAAAAAAAAATGGTTTCATAATTTTTGAGCAAACTTTTGTCCATTTATTCAGTCATACACTAAACAGAAGGCATTTATAGTAACTCACTATCCCACACCAGAGGACGCTGTTGACTTCCTGCGCCTGCTCACTGATCATGAATCAGATATCGTAATTTGTATGGATCTTCTGACAGATATTGACTCGGTGAATATATCTAATGTTGTTTTTATTTGGGGGGGGGGGGGGTTAAGTTTTTTGGGTTCCTTTTTGGATGTATCAATGATCTTTAGCTGCGTTGTGTTTTATAAATCAGAGCAAGATGTGGGTACCAGATGATCATCGTTCTAAAAATATACCGCCATTTACCGTACACTGCCAACAAGAACAAATCACCAGCGTTAAGTGTACTACAATCCACATTGTTCGAGATGGGGTAAGTTTTGTTCACTGATAACAGTTAATAGTATTTTTTAAATCTTATTTAATATCCATTTATATACTTAGATTGCGAATTTACACAACAAAAGTGTTTCCTGAGTGTAATCTCAACCATGACTCATTACTTTCGGAGACAATTTCGAATTTTGGGACTTGTGTAAATCATTTGAATAGTTTTATTTAAATATTTTCTATAGATGAACGATGAAGCGTGGTCTGTAGCAATTGTACAGCCGAAGATTGGATTGAAACCATCGGATCATTCACATCTCCTTAGTTTGGTGTCTTTTATTTTACATAGTGAATTGGAGGGCCCTGTTACTGTTGTAAGCAGGTATTACTGGTTTACATAAAAATACAATTTCACTTTTATCAGTAAAAACTCTGCTTCTTGTGGTTTATGGTGACTTTTCAATATAAAATTGATAGTTAATGTTATAATTCACTAAACTTTGAGTGTTAGATCAGTTATAGAATTTGCTACATTTTGGTCCCTAAACTTGGCGTTTAGGAACATTTATAATTGTTAAATTTAAATCAGTCATATATATACTTTTGTATTCATTCGAATTATTTACAATTCTATACCTTATGCTTTACGACAATGTTATTAGGAATGGTGCAGCTCTTTGTGGAGTGTTCTGTGCTGTACATAATGTATTACAACAGCTAAATATGGACAGGGAGGTGGACATTTTCACGGCTGTCAGACAGCTACAAATAAGACGACCAGAGCTGTGTTCTTCTTTGGTAAATCCAAGAAAGTCAAACGTGAAATGATAATTATTTAAGCTGACACTTAATATTTGGCAAATATATCATAGCTTGTAGATAAAAGGTAAAGCAAGCAATTCCATAAAAATGACAAAATGTTTAAAGAGGATAAGACAATGTAACTAGAGTGGCAGAGGTAGAAACACAGTCTATATATGTTGTAACTCATACTGTGTATTTGCCTTGTAGGAGGAGTACAGAATGTTATACAACTGTGTGTTGGATTTCATCCGGGTACAAGACGACTCTTCTGCTGACAATATCTACTATAACCAATAAGAAAAAGAACATTCAATGGATATGAAGATACTTCCCATCCACCCCACCCAACCCCACCCCCGCACCCCCACCCCCAAAAGAAAAGAAAGGAAAGGAGAGGAAAAATGAAAAAGAATTTGTCTTCATCATTAAAATCAACCCTTAGTTAAAGTTTTTTAAAAGAAAAAATCATTTTGCCCAGAAAACTTAAAACCTAAAAAGGATTTTGCTTAAAAGTTTATGTTTATTTTTGAGAATTGTTCAGAGAAAAATCAATACGTTTACAGAGTAGTTAAGACATTCAACATGTAGAAAAGAGTATAGTCATTTGAATAATGAATGAGAATATTTACATTAACAATTTCCTGTTGTTTTTTATCCAAGTTTAAATCATTCACGATGTATAAACACATTTGTGGAAATTAAAATAATCCTAGTAATATTTGATATCAATAATAATATCACATTTATTTCTGTTTCTATCATGAATAAAATATATCATATTGAAAATGTTGCTTTTGTACTTTCAAAAACAATCCGTCACTTTTTAAACTTAATTATGACAATGGTCTTTTAACAGTTACTACCCTTATTGAGCAATCTTGAGCATTGTTGTACGTTTTAAAATATTTTAATGAGTTTTTACAAGAGATGTAATTTATAATGGCGGAATCAAAAAATCAATTTAAAAAACTTGAGAACAATTCTTACAATGTATCAACAGCATAGAGTTAATGTATTGAATGGATACAATAAAATTTGCAGGATTTTAAATCATTTATGTTTTTAAATTGAACTTACACAAGTCTTTATAAGATGAATTCACGATGTCTGAGTGTATGTAAGGTTCATTGTCTTGTAAGTGTGTTCTATATTTTTTAATAATTTGATATTACACAGGCATCAAAAGACACTTTACTGTTTTTTTTTTAAATTAGTGAAAATCATGAGTTGCAGAACGTTTTCTAAATTTTGCCAAATGTTGCCGATATTCTACGATAACTCTAAAAACATTTTAAGCATGATGACAACACTTTGAAAGAAATAATTTTACAATTTCTCAAGGTATTTGCAGATGTAATAATCGTGCTGTTTCTTAAACAATAAATGCTTATTATTTTCTCTCTTGTTTCGAAGTATTGCAAAGAAAAATATTTATGACGAATGTAAGCGAAAGCAGTCATACTAGGCACGATAGTTAAAGAAAGCTTCATACAATTTGCATTTCATATCTTAAAAAAAAATAAGATACTCGTCATTTATTACAAAAAAGTACGGAAGCCCGTTGAAGCCAGTTCAGAGAAAGAACTAGTTTTCATTAAGCTTTAATGACCAACCTGTATTTATATCCCGATAGATGTTTAAAAATTATACCTTATTATTTATATTTGTGACTTATTTATATTTTATATTTGCCTGATTATAATTTTTAACGTGTGAAGTGTTGTATTTTTCAAACTCAACGACACGTGTTTAATCCATTGCGCGTCGACCCTTTATGACGTCACTGAGAAATTACGTCAGATGTTTATGGAACCCGTGTTTATACGGATATAGATACACATTGCTTTCAAAAGAGTTATATAAAGAATTTAAATATTTGCAATTAAACATATTTATTATTGCGCTAAAATGCAAAACATTGCTTTTAATCGCAATAATCATTCCGTTTAAATGCAAAACATTGCGCTTTACTGCAAAAGAATGCGATTAATTGCAATCTTTTGCGTTTTTACGCAATAATTTTGCGATTAAAAGCAATCCCTTTTGCGTTAAACGCAATGCTTTTTGCCTTTAAACGCAATAATTATACGATTAAATGCAATACTTTTGCAATGAAATGCAATAATTTTTGCGTTTAAACGCAATGATCTTTGTGTTTAAACACAATAATTTTGCGATAAAACGCAAAAATTTTGCGATTAAAAGCAATATTTTTTTTCCGTTTAAACAAAATAATCCTTCCTTTATGGATTCGTTTGGCATTTAAACACAATGATACTGTAGTTATAAAAATCAGAAATAAATTAGCCAAAGCTTATAATTACTAGGATTCGATACTTTAAAGAAGAAGCGTTTGGTTATCTGTCTTTACAGTACCCGCATCGCTATTCTTTACAGGATACACGATACGATAGGATACAAGCACGATACGCAATAGGATACACGCACGATTAGACAGGGTACACGCACGATAGGATAAACGCAAAACACGATAGACGCAAAATACGATAAACGGAAAACACGATAGACCTGATAAACGATCTTCACGATAGGATAAACGCAAAACCTGATAGGATTGTTTCATAATGCGAAACGTTTTTGGACAAGACGAAAAGTTTCCTTTTTTAATATACCGTAGTATGATAATTTTAATTGCTTACAATGCCGCAAATCTGAATGATAAAATATATTTATAATGAAAAAACAATTGAAGTAATGATGCTTTATAAAAGATACTTTTATCCGTCAATAAAAATGATCGTCATCAAATTCAAACTGTAATTATTTAAGATTAATTCCACTCTATGATGGAAATTAGGCGATTGTATGTGTAATTAAACAAGTGTCGAAATTCCATCGAATCGAAAAATTTGAATTTTGAGTCGTTTAACTACGGAAATTTTAATTTGTTGGTGGCTCAAAAATTCGGTAGACAAGTAAAATTAAAAAACCGATGTGCAATAATTAAATTCACGAAACGCTATATAGAATGTAAATATATTCATTATTTAAACAAATAAAACCTTATGAAATTCATAACAAACATTGATTATTTTTACGGAAGAACTCCATGTAAAAAATGAAATATTTGGGTTCAATATCTTGTGATAGAAGTTGGCGATGTATCCAAAATCGCCTCAAATAATCTGTATTTAATAAATCAAATCTTACAAGAATTACTATTCATAAATTAGGGGGGAAATTTTGAAAAAAAAAATCATTATAATTATTTTAAGGTTAACGCTTTCCCCTCAAAGTTTTTACGAATTTGCTTTAATTCATATTTTATATACATAAAGTTTATTTTTATTACGCTTTAAACGCGTGACTTGCTGAAATTGCTCGTTGCATTGACACTGGCTGTGCACTGGACTGTGATTAAATAATCTCTTCTATATATAAATATATATGTTACACATATACCGTGCACATAGACATTATTTACATGTATATTCCAAGTGCATCCAGTGTATATGTATATATGAGGAAGGGGACAGGCCGAAAGAAATCGAATTCAATAAAATTAATAGACGTCACTAGATCTGTCATCATCTAGTATCCGAAAAAAAAATATCGCATTTCAATTCTTCTGTATTTGTTCTCTGGTATTTTAATGCTATAGGCCTGTAAGATTAAGAAGGGAGGATGCAGTCGTATACCTAAAAATGTTAGAGTGCACCAACATGTGTAGTATACGTGCAGCAGAAATATGATGATAATATTGCCTATCAACAATGATAATGTCATTAGCCTCTTTTGTTTGCTATTCAAAACATTTCTTTTTAGACCTTCGTCCCCAAAGAAATGAAATTGCTTTCTACGCTTGCCTGTGTTATAAACATTTACAATAACAGGATTTGTATCTACTTACAATGTATGTGAATATATTTATTGGGTTCTTAAACTTTGTATGAAATAAATAACATTGAATGTTTACATACTCTTGTTTACAACATACTAGAACACACACAAAAATAAACTATAAATTAATTTCCACAATACGATAAGTGGATTTTCGGACTGAATAATTGTAAATTATTGCTATTAGACTTTATATTAATTGTTACAAAACTTATCTTATATAGGACTAAATCGGCAAAAACTAGACAAAACTTTGTAAATTATGAAAGTCTTAATACCACTTGAGGCACAGTCAGCGGAGAAGGAAGGGGGGGGGCATAACCACTCAAAAAAAGAAGGTCCGATTCAAAAGCAAAAAATAAATAAATAATAAATGAAAAAAAACATATATTGACTTCTTGAATATAGTCAAGTATTAAATGCAATCGATAAACACTAATAAAATTAAATTTCAGGTATTTACTCGTCTTGTGTATCACGGCAGATCCGGGCGTTTTCTTTTAATTTTTTACATGTATCTTTGAGGCGCCTTTAATAACGAAAAAAAAAATCGTGCGAGGCAAAGTTCGTATTTTTCTGCTAAGAATAAATATTCCAAACAACCAAAATGAATTCGAATTACCATATTTATATTGGATTCCGAAACTTCATAAAAATCCTTACAAACAAAGATACATAGCGGGCTCCAGTAAATGTTCAACCAAGCCTCTATCTTTACTCCTCACTAAGATATTAACAGTGGTGAAGGAGAAACTTCAAGAGTACTGTGCAACAATATATTCGAGAAGTGGTGTAAATCAGATGTGGATACTTAAAAATTCCAAGGAACTTTTGGAAAATTTGAAATCACAAGATTTTACCAAAATCAACAGCTTAAAAACTTACGACTTTTCAACTTTATACACAACCATTCCCCACGATAAATTAAAGTCCAGGCTTTTTGATATCATTGACAGCTGCTTTTTCAATAAAAATGGAACTCGTAAATATACTTACCTTGTCATTGGTCATTTGCAAAATTATTTTGTTAAAAAACATTCTGATTGTACACACAAGTACTCTGAAGTTGACATTAAAAAGATGCTTGAGTTTCTGATTGACAATATCTACGCGGTTTTTGGAGACCAGGTCTTCCAACAATCTATTGGAATTCCTATGGGTACCAATTGCGCCCCGTTATTAGCAGACCTTTTTTTGTATTCATATGAAGCAGAATTTGTCCAAAATCTTGTACGTGAAAAGAAGAAAACACTTGCTGTGGCGTTCAACTCGACATTTAGATATATCGACGACGTATTGTCAATTAACAATGGCTATTTTCATTCTTATGTCACTACGATATATCCTGGTGAACTTGAGATAAAAGATACCACAGAGTCTGACACATCTGTTTCATATTTGGATATTTTACTTGAAAAAGACGTTAATGGTAATCTAACAACCAAGCTTTATGATGAACGTGATGACTTTAACTTTTCAATCGTCAACTTCCCTTACTTATGCAGCAATATACCTTCATCACCTGCATACGGGGTATATATCTCTCAGTTGATTCGATACGCAAGAGCATGCTCTACGTATGTACAATTTCTAAAACGAGGTAAATTATTGACAAATAAGTTGATGAAACAAGAATATCAGCTGTCTCGTTTAAAGTCATCATTTCGTAAGTTCTATGGTCGATACAATGACCTTGTCAGCAAATACAATTTATCATTGAGTCAAATGCTGACTGACGTTTTTCAGACTAATTGTTAGGCCATTATTTACACACTGAATTGTAAGCGGATTTTTCCGTTATTTCCCGATCATGACAAGGAGCACACGGCGGGTCTGACCGGTCGG